CAAGTATAATAAAAAAATAACTAAGTCTTTCAATCAATGAAAGAAAAAGTAATTTATGATTGTTTTTTAATCTCTCAATTCAATGACAGCTACGGCCGATATTAGATGACATTCAAACAATTTAATTTTTGAAGTAGATAGCCACGTGTCTTCTCTTTATGTCACAGTGGCTGTGGTAATCACTAAATTTGACGCTTAGGCTATACATTTTTTTTTTGAGAGACAGTTTTTTTTTCTCCAAAAATTTTTTTTTTCTCAAAAACGGTTAATGTTGGATATAGAGTGTTTGATATCAAAATTCATAAAATTTTACAGAGAATTTAAGTATGTAATAAAAAATTGGAGTACCCATTTAAAATTTAAGAGAGTTGCTGTCAACTTCCGGTATATCCGAAAGTGCCGCCATATTGAAAATATTTTTAATCGATAGATCTCGTTGTTTAATCGATAGATCTCGTCTCGCACTCGACTCCTCAGGTCTGGACGCACATTATGGTGGCTAGCACTATGCTTCAACCGCCTATTATTACCTCAGGATTGTGAATCCCAAGTACTCATTTAAGGCTGAGTCGACCTAGGTACCCAAACTATTTTTATTTTAGTAAAAATAGTCGGGGAAATGATGAAATGCCTGGTGTGGCAATCGAAATTTGTTTTTCTAATATTTAAATTATGTTAAAATTTTTGTATATATTATTTAATAAACTGTTTTACATTTCATTTAAGTTCAAAATAAATTGTTCGTATACCTAATATTACAATTATAAGTTTAAATATAACCGAGTAATTAGGAAATAACTTCAAAAAAGAACTGTAAATTCGTTTTTCTCAAAAATATGTTTTGTGGCTTAAAATAGCTTGCTTTTGGGGTACAGATGTATAAATAATTTCATTTGAATTTTTTTTTTCATTGCCGATATTCCGCGAGATTTTGCATCGCCTTATCTACTAATAGATAAGGCAAGTATTTTAAGTGGCAGAATATTTCGAGTCTGGGAACACATAAATGAGTTTTTTTGCCACAGAAATTGTTGAAAATTTTACACGCATCTAACAAGTAATTAAAAGGAACAAAAGAAACGAATTGCTAATATATACAAATGTACATTGCACACTAAATGCCCATTTACCTATATTTCATTCATTTAAATTCATTAAAATATTGGCATTGCTCCAATCTATTTTGTGTCTTCGCACCCAGATGTGTTGACAAATATAAGATTTACGAAAATTATTTTTTAAATTAAGCTTTGTACCTTTAAACTCAAAACTCAACACTTAATAAAAATATTTTTTACCGATGTAAATAGTGTCACATTTGCATGGTTATTATATACACATAAAATACATATTATAATTTTTATGTACTCTTATTTTAATTTTTTTTATATTTTTCATGTCAACTCTGTACAGAGTGAATTATAAATAAGGACAAATATTTTCAGAGCTGGTAGATCTCGATAAAAGAAACATATTTTCTCTATACCGTTTTTCAAATAAGTCTAAAATAAACGAGTTATTTTACTTTGAAAATTTGCAAAAAAATATTGTTTGCATAAATTTTGAGAACCACCGGATTTTTTCATGGTTTTCTTTCTTGTAAATTTAATCCTTGTAATACATCTACCATACTTTAGGTTTGCATTTATACAAAATTACTAAGGTGTTTGTTACAAGCGCTACAGATGCCCAACGCACTAATATTGCTGGACCTTGTATACCAATAACAAATGTTTGTCAAGTAAACGAGTTAGTCCAGTCAGTGAGGTGTTTTGCCATACAAAAGGTGGTGTAGTAGTAATTTTTTTATATGTTGTTAAGGTTTGAGTCTTGATAAAAAATCCAAGTTTTCGACCTTGAAGTGGGACCGCTCGAGCCGCCATCTTGGATAGAATGTACAGTGACGAAAAGTTGAACATATTTTCCAAAAAAATAGAAAAACTCCCCAATTTTGTAATTTTTCCGAAATTCTCGCTATTTTTTACATAGGTATAAACAGCCACGGCTGGTGAGGTAGTGCCACGGTGCCACGGAGCGAAAAAAATATGTTATAACCTTCATATGTCTCATTGAAATATAACGCACAACATAAAAAACTGAAGAATATGGTAGTGCCATGGCGATTTATTAGCGTTTTCTTTTCTTTGATTGTCCGGGTCGGTTATTAATAACGTTTTGAGTATTGTCTTCGGTGTCATCGTAATCGGTACTTATGGGAATATATTGCTCTTCCATTGTTAAGTCTTGGTCATCTTCGTCCTCAATGTCGCTGTGAACCTCCGGGACATTTTCGCATGACTGACCACTGCAGAAGCCACATACAACGGAACACTTCAACCCAGCTTTCCTGCAACCGCGTGCTGCGCCGCATCCTTTTCTACAAGTGCATGAAATTAATTTAAATAAGTTGTCGGGTTCTGCTTGTTTTGTCATGGTGAGTGGAACAAGCCCATTGCTGCCCAGTTTCCAGCCCCAGTCTTCAGGTTTTTTCTCGATTCTATACCATTTCTAGACTTGATGATATGTCCTGAAAGAATGATACCGCGCAGCATCCTTCGTTGGTGGCAATGAAGCAAGATTGGATTTACTTTTTGTGGTTGATCTAGGAAAACGTTGGTAGCGGATTTCTTCTAAGGTGTCTTCTTCCAAGTTGCCGCCATACAAATCAACGAGAAAGCGTGCTCCAGCATCTGCGATGTCCTCTGGTGTTGCATCCTGATGTAAAAAATGCCAATGGTGTCACTGAGTCCTGCTGTTTTCTGGAGAAGCGAACAAAACTTCATTTTTCCTTGGATTGACGATGTCGTGTCACAGCCACTAAAAGCATGGAGAAACAGAATGTTCTCAGCTACCTTTTTATGTTTTAAACTATTAGCTGAATATATTCTTTCAGCAATTTTGCCTTTTCCTGGTTTGCGGAGGTAGATGTTTCCTTGAGACGATGCTAATGCTGTCAGCAAAACGAGAAGGTCAACGTCTTCGCCAACTACGAAAACAGCATCAAATTTGGGGCACAAGGAAATCGCTATTCTGACATGCAACACATCAGCATCTTCTTCCGCCCGGTTGACAGTTATAGCAGCCTGCTCTATTTTTTTGCCGAGCATCGAAATTAAACGGCCTTATTGTTTTCGTTGGCTAAAAATAATTCCTGGGAAACTTAAACCGGCATTGTTTCATCGAAGAGAGCATCCGCAGACATATGCTTCTTCGATCGGCGAAGTCTTTCTGCGGCCTTGGTATTCCTTTTGGCTCCATCACTCGGACATCCATCAAAAACAACGACTGCATGTGAACCGTAGTGATTTCGTACAATTTCTTTTGCAAAATATTCTTCCCCTTTTTGCCTCCGCCCTAATTATTACTCCACCCAAATTGTTCCGCCCTTTTTACGATGTTCCGTTATACATACTTGATACATCGAAAAAATATCGATATCTAACTTTTTGATCGTAAGATTAACCGCTGCGGATATATTTTGAAAAATACTGTTTTTTGAATCTTTAATTCAAGATGGCGATGGCGGCTCGAGCGGTCGCACCCCAAGGTCGAAAACTTGGATTTTTAATCAAGACCTAAACCCTAACAACATATTAAAACATTACTACTACACCACCTTTTGTATGGCAGAGGCCTATAATGACCCCCACTGATTGGACTAAGTCTTCAAAGTCCGGCTTTATATGATAGACATATACATTGCTTAAATACTAGAAAAATAATATACGACAAATTACTGACATAGAATGTTTTAAAATAGTAAATTTCAATTATTTTTTTAATGATTTTATATTACTTTAAATTAGTTGTTGAAATAGTTTTCGAAAATAGAATTGTTTGTTCATTATGGAAATTAGTGTTGAAATATAATGTGCAATATTTACAAAATTTAAAAATATAGACTTTATTCAAAAAAGTTTTATGAATATTTCACCACTGTAAGAAAATCTACAAAAAATAGTTATTTTTTGTAAACACTGCTGCGTTAATCCAATGGAGACTCATTGTCAGCAGTGGTTTATTAATAAACAAATTTGCCTAACGGACAAAAAAAATGCTTTAAACGTTTGGGGAAGTATATCTCTTCCCGTCGTCGGAAACAAAATAAGCACAAAGAACAAAGAAAAACTATTTTAAATATCTAAATGCGAGAACACTTTAGTTTTTGAAACAGGTACGTCTATAAAACCCGTTGACGCTATACTTCCGTTTATTTTTGAGATATAATTCCCGAAACGTGTAAAGCATTTTTGGCCATTAGGCAAATTTGTTTATTAGTAAACCACTGCTGGCAATTAGTCTCCGTTGGATTAACGCAGCAGTCTTTACAAAAAATAGCTATTTTATTTTGTAGACTTTTTTTAAGAGATGAATCCGCCACAGAGGTATAGACATTTTTTAGGTATAGACTTATGTGCAAAAATATTTAAATAAAAATATATAAATAATTATTTTTGTGTATATGTACGTGGTGGGTTTATCCGTGGTGGTTTATTATGTACGTGGTGGGACCGTCCGCGACGGAGCGTCCGCGACTTCGAGCAAGTACCATGAGTTTATATGAACAATTTCACATGGGCGCGTATGCTCCGTCCGACGGAGTTCGTCCGACGGCTATCTTGAAAAAACACGATGGACGGTCCGTCGCGGACGCTCCGCTCCATCTGAAAGCGCTGTTAGGCGGGTTTATGTCTAGAAAAAAGGCGTGGATATTTCGTCGCTGAAAGAGAAATATAAAAAAGTCGTTTGTTTTTAAATGACTTTAGAGTAGAATTCACACGGAAACTAGCTCATTAGTGGCTTTCTACTCGTAATACAAATTTTCCTACAATAAGACGTTATCGCTTTAACGTTCGATACCGTTTGAGATACAAGATTTTTATAAATTATTTAGATTATTATATTATCATAATTACATGATTACCTCTTAGTTTTTAAATAGCAAATATATTATATTAAAGTCACTAATATCTAATTAAGTTAATGTTTCTTTTTTGCAGATGGTGAAACATATATTTACTAAATGTGAAATAGTAAAGGAAAGCACATTAAATTAGGTAAGTAATTCATACAAAGATGTTTAAAGTAAAACATAAAAAGTAAAGTTTTATTAGTACGTTTCCGTAGAGTTGCAAAATTAACTAAATTAACATCAATTTTTAGAAACTGAAAAACAACTTAAATGACGGTAGTAAAGGTATATAAATTGAAAATTGTGTCAGTAAACAATATGAATAGAATCACAATAGAAAAATATTTTTGTAATATAATAATTGTAAAATATATATCAAAACACAAACGGCATATAAACATTGTGAAGAACCAAACTTTACACAACATGCAGTTGTAAATTTATGAAAAGCCACTAAAAGTTTTCATTGTTTAACCCTGAAAAAAATTGTAAATTAATTCTCATAAAAGCAAACAAGGTATTTTCGACGCTATCTGACTGCAAAATATGAATAAAAACTTGCCGTTTACAAGCCAACATTTTTTGTGGTTTTACCTAAGAGAAACAAAATGAAAATAGTGTGCTTTTTAAATTATGTAGCTTAAAATGTACGTAACAGAATGGCAAACAAAGCCTTAAATATGATATTTTTTCTTTTTAGACAAATTGCGGGTTTTGTAGTTCAATAAATTAATTTTGTGATATTATTTTTCGTATTTTCAAGTACTATTTTTCTAATTGTTGAGCTTTTGTAACTTTTTAGATGAATATCAAATATAACTAATTAAAATATTATTAAACGAAAATTAAAACCCTTTCATTAAAACCGAATATTTTCCAGAGAATATCCTACCTACAGTTAACAAAATAAGATAATACAAGAAAATTAAAAATCGGTGGGACATACTGATATCATAATAATACTATTATCGAAAAGAAATTTTATTCAAAATTTGCATTCGGTTAAAAAGTGTACTAATACCTGAGGCTAAGAAGATACAGTGAATATTTTCACAAAGACATATTTTTACTTTATTTTGATTTTATTATCTCCATAGACATATACTTTGCATAATTATCGATTCATATTTTATATAATTTAATTATTAATATACTTATTTTTTATGTTTACATCAAAAGAATATATTATTAGTAGTGTATGTGTATAATTTTTTTGTTCACAGGTCACAAAAGTATTAAAGTACGAAAATATATTATTAACTAGCATAAAGTGTCAAATTCAACGAGCGTAACCATAGTTTCTTGATATATAAATACATACAAGGTATTACTTTTAAATCATTTATACTATTTGAAACGTTTAAAATTATTTAAAACCTTATTAGCGACGTTTGAAAAAAATATAGTTCTATTCGGAGTAAAATTGACTGTTTGTGTCTCGCCTATGTCGTCCGTAGAGACTAGCCACGAAGGGTATCATTTTTACTCCTACTAAAACAATAGAATATGAGACAAACTACACTGGGTGCGTCTCAAAGTAGCTCACGCCTATTATTCTTTTATTTTCTCAGATAAAAAAACGAGATTTGGTATTAATCGTATAATTTGGTATATGACATAAATTGAAGGGTCCAGGGGAATTTGATAAGCGCCAATTTCTTAATTTTAAGATTTTACAATATTATACTAGGTCTAACTGGTCCCTACAAAATGTATAAACTCGGCAGGGCAATAAGTTTTTAAATCCTATGATAAATGCCTAGTAAAAACTAGTAATAACTTTTGTTTATCAGATGGTACTCAGTTACAAAAACTTATTTAGTTGACAGTTGTTAAACAGTAATGGTTGACAGTGGGCAGTCAAGTCTATTTTTCCAAGGTTCCTGGCACTTTTCCAGCTATGCCACTCTAGATTTAAATTTATATACAATTTTTTTTAAAGAGAACATGTTAAAAGTTGATATGTCATTATATTCAGACTGTCATTTTCTATCGAAAATAAAAATATACCGAAAGTGTCATTTAAAAATAAAAAATTGTTGCCGTTTCCAGTGTAACACGAAATGACCAATAACAAATGAATACATCAGTCAATTCTAATTTATGTCATATACTAACATACCAAATCTCGTTTTTTTATCTAAAAAAAATAAAAAAGTTACAGGGGCGAGTCATTTTTGAGACGCACTCGGTATATGACATCGACGAAGACATCTTATTGCAAGTTAGAATTTCTCGAAATTGTTGCAGAGTAACTTTAAAGTTTGACGTTGAAGAAAAGAAGTATAACGACTTAGATGCTTAAAAGAACAATAGCAAACCTCGCCTCTTTATTGAAAAATGTGTGAAAAACAGAAGTTTGTAAAATATCATTTTGTATCATTATAACTTTAATAGTGTTCTTTTATGGTTTAATGGGTTCATTTATTTGGATAGATAAAATGGCAAACAGCGTATTTTAGTTAGTAAAAGCCATGGACATTTTAAGGCGGGTTTGTATTGTTATTAATTTTAAAACTTACTTGATTATTTTAGTGATAGACTCATTCAATTTTGACGTATTTATTCATAAGGCTCTTAGCAAGTTAGATATTTTCAAAGTTTTTTTTAATTTTTAACTCTCTAGTTAAACATTCATATTTATTCCTATACTTTATCAAATTAATTTTATCTAAATACTATCTATACTTTATCTACATAGTTTTTAATACAGTGATTTTTTAAATATTATTAAAAATATACATATGTATAACAAAAGTGTCTCTATTTTTCATCTATACTATACCCATTGGTGTCTATTGTTGGCTATGTGGGCTCAAGTCATCCCTGCACTGTTCGGTTTTTATATGATTCAAAATAAAAAATATATAAATTGTAAAATTAGTATTTTTTTAATGGCCATAATGCGTTCTTTCAAAATCATCGAACAACTAAATCATTTCCATAGATCCAGTGACGTACCGTGACTTTGAATTTTCAGACCAAAAACTGAAACAATAATTTGTCAAAAAAATCATATTACAGCTATATGTTTTATTTTGCACAAAAATGTTAACTAATAAGTTAGAATAATTATAATTCTTCCCAAACTAAGTGGTTTTATCGCTAAATTTAACTAAAGCTAAGTACAACAAAAATCTTAAATACGTGGACTATTATAACAACAAATACATCGTAAAAGACTATTTTGGCAGCATTCTGATCGAGAATTCAAGTTAAACTTTTTAAAAAATAATTTAAAGGAAAAATGTTAATTCAGTTAATATTAATTTTTGTATACTGCTCAGATTTATCTGGTCTTCTATCATATATTTTGGAAATTAGAGAATTATCTGAAGATTTTCATGTAAAAATTGGCATTGATAGTGGTGGTGGATCACTTAAAGTTTGTCTGAAAGTGCTCCCTGAAAATGATCCCGAATATTTCAAGAAATATAAAAGTGCTGGAATTAATAAACTATTCATAATTGGCTAAGGACCAAAGTTGTCTGAATCTTATGCTAACATTAAAAGCCTCTTTGAGACGTTAGATCTGCAGTCCATATGTGGAATTTGTTCCTATACTTTTGCCGCTGACTTTAAGCTTATTATGATTCTCCTTGGTCTTCAGTCAAATTCATCCACTCACACTGGCCCGTAGTATGATGTAAATGTAAAGGAAATGGAAATTAAAGGATCATTCAGAACTATAAATAGTATTACAGAAAATACAAATTTATGGCAACAATCTGGAGGAAATATAACAAAAGCCAAAGATTTTTTAGTAAGCGTTTTTGTTTGATTTTTTTTTGTATTTTTTAAACTGTTGTTCAATGAACCATATGAAAAAGGGCAATTATTTTTTAGAAAACTGTATAAACATACCTTTAATCATTGGCGACGAAGAAACACCTGTCTTAAAGTATATTCCCCCTACTGAGCTTCACCTTTTGTTAGGTGTGGTTCAAAAACTTTGGGGTCGCACCACTCTTGCACTTTGTGCCATTGTATTGCCTTGCACTTTGTGCCATTGTGGTTTTTTAATCGCGGTGCGATCCCTTTAGACACACATTTATTAATACTAATATTATTCTGTAAAACTTAATGGGGTCTAATGAAGAAATTTGTATTTGAATTTGAATTTGAAAAACTATTTGATTGTCTTGAATTGGAGAATACCAATGTTGCAACAGAATGGATAAAAAAAGCGGGATTGAAACTAGATCATTATGGAAAATGTAACGGAAATAACGCCAGACAACTTTTAAAGAAAGTGGATATTTTGAAGACGATATCGCCCGGTAAAGAATTCTATTCAAAGTTTTGACAAGCAAAAACCTAAACACCTTATTATTAGGAAATAAATATATTGCAGTGTTTTCTGCATTCAATCAAGTAGTTTCGAGTTGTTTGGTCAATCACTAAACAAACATTTTGAATATGACATCGAACAATTTAGATTGGAAATACTCAATTTAGGTATTAAGATAACTCCAAAGATTCATGCAATTCTGCATCATGTGCCAGAGTTTATAAAAGCAAATCATAGAGCTCTAGGATTTTACTCGGAACAAGTATCTGAGCAGGTTCATTTTTCCTTTAAATTATTTTCTAAAAAGTTTAACTTGAATCCTCGTTCAGAATGCTACCAAAATAGTCTTTTACGATGTATTTGTTGTTATAATAGTCCACGTATTTAAGATTTGTGTTGTACTTAGCTTTAGTTAAATTTAGCGATAAAACCACTTAGTTAGGAAAGAAATATAATTATTAGTAACATTTTTATGCAAAATAAGACATATAGCCGTAATATGATTTTTTTGACAAATTATTTGTCAGTTTTTGGTCTCAAAATTCAAAGTCACGGTACGTCACTGGATCTATGGAAATGATTTAATTGTTCGATGATTTTGAAAGAACGCATTATGGCCATTAAAAAATTACTAATTTTACAATTTATATATTTTTTTATTTTGAATCATATAAAAACCGAACAGTGCCTGCTAATTTACAAATATCATGGTTCCATCTCTTATTCGGTCTTCTTTTAGGTCTCTTAATTTCTCTTGGGTACCATGCTTTAATTTCTGTTGTCCGTTCTTCATACCAGGGATCCTGCCCATTGCCATTTGAGGGATTTGACTCTGTGGGTGACATCTATTACCT